GCACTGTAAAGTAAAGGGAAAGTCTGCTTGGCGGCCAATAAAATTTTGCTTTGGATAGGTAGGTGGAGTTGTGGTTTGCATCCAGAGAAAAAATTAACTGTGAGTCTGTAATCTCATCTACAGAGGGAATATCAAGCTCAATTTTTCCTGAGCTGGGTTAAAGTAAAGTCATCTCCCTGGTGTTCTATTTGTCAAGATTATAGGGTAAGAAAACCTTTAAACTTAGAGGATTTGCCTATCATACAGCAGATGATCTTTTCTGTGTCGTGTGTTTTGTCTCAGTTTGTTTGAATGTAATATTTAGTTGGTAGTTTAATTTCTTAAGCTGCAGTCCTTGGAATCATTGCTATGAAGTAAAATTTGACGAACTTTTGAGTTAATGTGGATAGATTTGGACTGTTGGTGCAATTTTCCCAACAAATAATTTAAACCATAAAATAGGGTTTTAAATCTGTTGACTTGTAAAACCGCTTTTTCCATACTTTAAAGATGTAATAGTTTTGTATTGTCATGGAGGTTTGAACTTCATTGTCCTTTTGAGGTTATTTTCCCTCCCCTCATCAGTTTTTAGTCCTCTACTTGATATCTAGGCCTTGATATCTAGGCCTTCTACTTGATATCTAGGCCTTCTACTTGATATCTAGGCAAGCCAGAGGGGAGAAACATAAAGGAGAAAGAGGTCCTGAAAGGGATTCACTTAATACATTCCCTATTAAGTGAGCACAGCATTTCCACTTCTGGGAACAGAGGAAGAAGTATTTTTCATATTGTGAGTGCATACTTGTGAAAGACCAAAAAATGCTTAAAAGTTATGGAGACATTTGTGCAATTATTTCAGGCCAATTGAGAAAGGGTTGCAGTCAGTGGGAAAGAAGCTGAGATGAGGAGACAAGATGGTTTCCGCTAAGAAAGGATGGTGGGATATGGACTGAAGGGCTAAGGGGGAAGGAAGGGGAAAAGACATGGTTAGCCTGCTCATCTGTTGGACATGCCACAAACAACCCACACTGTGTAGATTATTCACAGGTTAGTTTACTATGATGTGTGAATGAGGCCATAGTCTGTTGTTGGATTAATCCATGAAGGCCTCTTAACCAAAAATCCTCTGTTTGCAGGACATAACAGGCTATGGCTGAGACTGAATATACAAATCTCAAGTGCTGCAGTCCATCGAGGTCTAAAAAAGCCAAGCTGGGCTGCTTTGATTGTGTGACAAACAAGTAACAATTCTGCCCTCACTGTTTTTAGAGAACCTTACATTCTCTACTTTTCTCTGAATGTGAGGAATTTCAGGCCTGTTGATCTGAAGGCAGCCACCTACTTCAAGAGTTTAAACCTGTGCATGACTGCAGCACTACTCTTACTTAACCTTAAAAAAAAAACACTTTCACCGTTAAACTTTTCACATAGTCTGTATCTGGAATCTTTGCAAATAGAAAATATGAAACAGTAACTGAGTGTAATAAATGTTTGTTTCACTGTTGATGTGACATACTCCATAATTAAATTACAGTTATTGCAACATTAATTATAGAGTATTCTGTGTTTGTTATGGAAAGCAGTCATGATTACTTATTGATCTAAGGAGCTGTTGGCTTTAAATATTTTTGAGTCTGACTTAAATGAAGTAGGTTCTGTGCAACTGGAGTAATACTACTTTAACATTCAATAACTGAATGTTCTGTAAACCTCAAATTGATCGATCATGCAGATGGGTAGCAACAGGTCAAACCAGTCCTTCTAAACCAAGTATCAGTATGTATCTTTTTGATATACTGGAGCAGAAGTATGGATAGGCAAGGTTGCAAAGACGACAGAATTTATGGTGTTGGAACAACCAGCCAGATGTGTGGTGAAAGCTAGAGGTTTTGTTACTAAACGTTTTTCATTATTTTCAAGTTAATAATTTAATAATTTAATTTATTACTAGATTAAATTAATAATTTATTAATAAATAAACAGCATGGATCAATTCTTGTGAAAAAGGTGGGATATATTCATATGCATAACAAAAAGAGAAACTTTTTGTTATGCAACTACAAGGTTTTATGTAGACAAAACCCAAGGGGAATCGTAGAGGAATATTGCTAGACTATGCCTATGAATTTTTGCAGTGTTACTTTGCTCACAGCTACAGTGGTCATATTTGTGCTGATAAAAATCCATTTCTTTTACTTTGCCCAGTGTAGCTTACTTTGATATAGATAGTAGTATGGGGCTAAAGTTCAGATAGCTTTACTGCTTAGCTGTTCAAGGATGTGCTTCTTGAATAGTAAAAATGACTGTTTCATGACTCAATCTGTAGTGTTGGACGTACTTTTGTATTAACCTTTGTGGACTTGTGCATTTGCCTTTGTGATTCAGCCTTTCCTGTACAACTTTTTTAGCCATCTAAAGAATGGATTATATGAATAATGCATCTTTGACAATTCTGTGACTTACATCTGTTGCACTCGTCATGTAACTGGTCCTGTGGAGCTGTGAAATTACAAGCCTTGTAAGAATCCAGAATATATTTAAAATAAGCACAAGGCCAAATACAGTTTTTCAGTTGATTTTGATCTGTTTTGTATGGCTAGCCACTGACAAGTGCTCCCTCCAGTTGTTATATCATTGAGAGGGTTTGCACTACATGGAAACATGGGTAATTGTTGTTGTGGTTTGTCATGTTGTATGAATTTACTTGCTATCCCCTCAAACTGATCAGGTTTTTTTCTGAACATGGCACCTTGACAACCTGTGCTTGCTTTGGGGCTTGTTGAACGCAGTGTGCTCTTACGTTGTCTGATCCTAGATGATCAACCCCATCATGGATGCAGGAAGCCGTGACCAAGCTGTGTAGCAAGACTGGCAAAAACAACTTGTTACTCTTGCTGAGCTCACCTGGGGTGAGAGACACTTCAAGTGCTCAAGGGGACCTTTGGAGTGACCCTCACTGGCGTGCTCTCTTCGGCTGCAATCATGGCCCCTTCTGCATTTACTGTGGCTCTTAGGAGATCATCTTTCACAGTCTTTACTCTGATAGCCTCTTCAAAGTGCCCAAAGGGCATACAAATTTGCACTTTTTTGCATGAAATATGTGTGCAAATGCTCTTGTTATATAGTAAAGTGATGACACAACTTGGACTATTTGAAATTTGAAGCCTTATATGTTCAGTGTCCTGGTAAAAGCCTGCTATCAAAGCAAGCAATATCTGTGGACATTGACAAAACCAGACTTCAAATGCGTTAACTTTGCATTTACTTGACAGCTGTTCAAAAGTTATCCGTCCAGCACAAACTGAACCTACAAGACTGTATTCCCCAGAGAGGTCCGCCTGGCGCTGCCATTATTTGTTTTTCGGCACCAGGCTAAGACCTTTTTATTTAAAACTTATTTTAATTGTTAAATTATTGTATTTATTAGGATTTTAAATTAGCCGAGAATGCACCGGGGGTTTAAAAAATTTTTTTTTAATTTTTTCGTGAGCCGCCCCGAGGCTTTGTTGCGATGGGGACGGCATAGAAATGTTTCAAATAAATAAATATTTGCTAGTGGGGTTGGCAAGTAGATCATTCTATATGTGGTGTGATTCTCTAGGTTTTAAGATTGAACCTTACAGTTCCTTGTGTCCTCCACCTTCTCACCTTTTCCCAAGCCTTTAGGTGTTCAGGAAAGTGAAAAAGTGAAGTCCACCCCACTTATGAGAACACTTGATTATAACAGTTATCAAAAGTAAAGGTTTCTTTTAAAGCAGGGTTTTTGACAGAGTCATCTGCAGCCAGGAAATCTGTATTGGCAGCGGGCACTTAACCGGTTCTTGACCAGGCAGATTTTCACAGTTGGGGTAGTTGGGGTTGCATGCACGCGCAACTCCAACTCCAAATTACTCCAACTCCAAAGGAAAATCAAAGTAAGCATTCACATGTTTTTCTGGTGTAAAAGTAAAAAAAGGTGATGAAACAGTGATGGCTTCTTGGGCAATTTGGAAGGGCTGTCACAGATCTCGAAAATGAGTCTCCAAACAGAAAAGGGCAGAAGAAAGCCACAGTGAATCAAAAGGGATTGTGAATGGAATGGGTTTTGCTGAGCAGGTCTCTGAGATACCTGTAGGGGAATGTATGGGGAGGAAGTGCAGGGACAGCCTCATTTTCTGTAGGTTCCCCTCCGCATGGGTAGTTCCATAAGCAATCTGCACTGCATAGCTTATTTTCAGGGTGAGTTGTCAGGCTGTCCACTCCATTTTTGGTGCTACTGGGTCCCTCCTTTGTCTTAATGTTGTTTCTCCCCCAATTCTTTGCAACAGTGTGAAAATGACTGCTTCATCTTACCAATTTTGTTACCCAGTAGGCTTCTAAACAAGACTATTCACATTAGACTGACAAAAGAGTGCTCTTGTGCACTTGCAAACAAACAATAAAAGAGCAATAAATTAGAAACACATTGGCATTTCCTTGAAGTGCCATTTTTCCCCTCAGTAACAGGCCAAAGTATTGTTCGGGCATCGGTGAAGGGCTAGTCACTGGTGAGATAGTGAAGAATGACATAGGCCTTATTGTTGCTTTTTACCAGGCAGCTCTGTAACTGCACTCAGTAAAATCACTATCCAGGGTTCAGATGAAATGATGACCCACTGTGGTATGTGTAACTCTACAAAAAGCCGTGGATTCTCAGGGTGGCACATTTGCAATTAAGCCACTCTGCAAGGAGACTGCTGGGTTTGGATGACAGGCAACACACAATGGCTGGCTGCCTCTGGTAGGTTGTCATGTTGCATTATACCATTTGCACCATTACTTACTAGCGTATACCCTTACCTGACAGTTTATGAATATGGCTTTTAATATACAGCACTAAAATCTATTGGGTATGTTCTGGGATAAGAATTTTACTTAAATATACAGCCATCAGTTGAATTCCATGGATGCTAATTGGTTGCATATTTGAGTCTATAGAAAGGTGTTGTAAGGATGAAACTAAGAAGTACCACATGTCGAATGATATTCACAATTTCTTTCAGATCTAGCTGATGTGCGAGTAACACTGGGAAAATTGGACCATCGAACTAAACCACCCTGAAGGTGAGCCGCAGTGGGTTACTTGTTCTCTCAATAACCCACATTGCTCCTGACACATGATGGGCGACACTGTGGCTTCTATAAAGAATTTTTCCCTTCATCCTCTTGCCCAGTCTTGGCAAGTATCCCAGCCGTCTTAACAGCAGAAATCCTCATTTCATTGTTCCTTATGTCAACACTCTTTCTGCAGTTGGTTTACTGTGGTCACCAACTCATGAAGGAAACTTGCCTCCCCCCATCAGATATCCAAATGCATATAATTTTCTGAGCCCTTATGGTCCCCACCTCTCCCTCATGCATGTCGTTTGCCTCCAATGGTGTCCATTTTTAGCTGTCAGAGCAGAGATAGGGATCAGTAAAGATGTACAGGGAGACTGGTAAAGATATACACATTTCAAGGCACACAGATGGGTCAATCAGTTAATGTACACACATTTCAAGGTGGAGAGTGAGCAGATCTGTAAATGCATGCATATTAATGCAAGAGCAATAAAGCAGAGAGAGAAATTATGCAGATTGCATACCTGCAGTTCTTTCATGAGTGTGTTTGTACAAGAACACACTTGGAAAAAGTTGGGAATGAATTTGGGACACATGTTGTCCTTCCTTACTGATTTTTAGGAACATGGGGCAGAGGACACTGACAAAGGATGAAGGAGGATGCCTGATCATGAAGATCTGTAGGTGTTGTCTCTATCTATCTATCTATCTATCTATCTATCTATCTATCTATCTATCTATCTATTTATTTATGGATTTATATCCTGCCTTTTTCCTACAAAGGGCTCAAGGCAGCTTATATCATCTCTCCTCCTCCATCTTATCCCCACAACAACAACCCTGTGAGGTAGGTTGGGCTGAGCACTATTCTTGTCACACAATTTTCTGGCTGTTTTCAGCCACCTATAATAAAGTCACCATTCTGGTTTGAGATGTCATGACAAAGCACCCTGAAAAGCAACAAGTTCTCAGGGTGGCTTAGTCACAGAAAACAACCCACAGTGAAAAAACTGTTTGCAGTTCAGATGTCACAACAATCACAGTAATATCCTGTCATGACTTACTGTGTTGGTGCCTTGGTTCACATGACACTTTCCACTGATTAAAATGCATTGTTTTCTAAAATTGATTATTATCAGTAATGTAATACTGATGGAGAGGAGGAGACCTGAGGCCAATGGGAAATTACAGCACAAGTCCCCCTTCTGGAGCACAAGAATATATCAAGTCTTTTGCATTCTTCAACTGTGAAGAATTTGAGTCTTGCCTGAGGGCAGTTATAAATGTTACTGCAAGGTGGACAGGTGGGTGGATCATTCTTGACATACTAATGGAAACCACTATGTTCTACATTAAAACAATTTGTAGTGCATTGCTGACCATACAGATGGCTTTGGCTGCAAGTCTTGATATTAAGAGCACACTAAGTTTCAAACTGTAGTTGTAGGTGTTCAGGGGGAAGCACTCAATAGCTTCTCTTTTCTTTTCTCTGTCCTGCAGTACACAAATCCCTTCATTTGAAGGGGATGGCTTTTTAGCCCTCACAGAGAAAGCAAACACTGTTAGCTGACTTACTGTCCATATAACTTTAGCATTTAAAGAGGGGAGCCATGCTGTATGTCAAAACTCTGTGCTGGATACTGCTTTGGAATTATTGTTCCTGCCTTGCTTTATAGTGTGTCTAAATACTTCATCATCTGCCTGGACAACCCAATGTTGGAAAACTACTGTTTGCATGAACAGTTCACAGGTAACATAAGCAGTTGTTGGAGACAAGGATTCCCCCTGCTGGTAACTAGATGTTGATGTCTCTTTGTTAGCAGTGTGTTTAATTTTTCCCTTTCCTGCTAATAAAACAAATTTGTACACACCCTGGTTGTTCAACTGCATTGACAGTTACTTCCAAAGGACTGCTAAATATGTGTGCATCTTGATTTTAATATGTTGATGGTGTGACCAACCATATCCACTAGCACTGGAGATTTCCAGAGGGAACTGGTCACTAAATCCTTAGTTGGTAGAAGCAAGGCTGTTGGATTTTTAACAATAGTTAACTGTCTTGACAAATAACTCACAGTTTTCAAGGCCTGACTTTTCCTTTTAGAAGGAATTGTTGTTTTTCTTTGTCCTAAGGTTGCAGCTGCTTCCTGTGGTTGAAACACTTCTGACTTGTCATGTAGAATGAAAAACAGAAAAAAGTGTTTGCCTTCAGTTTAGATTACTGTTATTGGCAAGCAATGACAATACAAAAATACAACCTCCACCCAGCACATTCTTTTTTTCACAACATTTAATTAGTCAACCAATGCTTCATCAATAGCACATGTATGTTTGTGTATGTAATCAGCCAACAATTAATGCACCAAAATAAATGGTTAGGGTCCCTTTTAGATACCTTTCATAGGAACCTTCCGAAGTTGTGGTTGCTGTATTTAGGTTCTAAGATAAATAATACTTAAGATTTTGGTTCATGTTTTAAGGATGTATGGGCAGCTTGGGTGGTGTGCCTTCTTGCCCACAAATTCAGCAGAGAGCTACAGAATATAGTGTGTCATACTACTGAACAGTAAATGGTTTGACAATTACAAGTGTTGGATATGTTCATGGTTAATGCTTGTGTGATGCTTGTTTCATGGGGAGGGGACAGAAGCAAACATCTTTACTGGTTGTAAAACCTGATGATAGATTTTCGTTTTTTCTGCAAGATGAAGTAAGGTAGGCTGTTGGCTACCAGATTTTCCAGCTGCTGTCATGTCAGCAGTCAAAATTATAGCATGTGTATTTGGGATTGATGGGCTGGGGGTTTCATCTTTTAACTTTTAAAATGGGCTGTCAGTCCTCTTTACCACCTAGTTGGCAACCACAAGGGGGCAGTTGGTAATGCTCTAGGGACTAGTTTTGACCCTGTGGCCTCCAGTTGCTGACCCTTAAGATAAGTATAACACGTCTACTTCACAGAACACTTTTTCATAATTTACTTTTTCTACTAATTGTTTAATCACTTCTTTAATACATCAATATATATGTGTGTGTGTCAACAGCAGAGTCTAAATAAGAATCCTGTGATAAGGACAGTGCTAAATCCATGACAAAAGGCTCTGTGACAGGCTTTTAAAATAACTAGCCCTTGTGGAAGATGTCTGGAATGTAGGTGGTGCACCAAATTAAGCTTTTGTCTAGCTTGCCACAATTATGTGGTAAGATCAGTATGAAGGAATCTTCCTTTAATGGGCAGTGGCACAGATTCCTTTTCTGGGCAAGGTTTGAGTTTGAGTGAGTGGCTGCCAACCAGCTTCAGATGCTCTTGGAGGAGAGTAATTATCTGGATCCAATCATGCTTTAGGTTGGTTTTTGGCATGGAAACAGCATTAGTTGCTCTGTATAATGTTCTGAGTCAGGAACTAGATGAGGAATGTGACTCTGTTGAATATCCTTGATTTCTCAGCACCATTTAGTGTCATCAGTCATGTATCCTTCTGTGGCAACTGCCTCAGCTGGGAGTCGACTGCATTGCAATGGTTTTGCTCCTACTCAGACAGCAAGGCCCAAAAGCTGGTGCTAAGAGAACTATTTCTTGGCCTTGTGAATTTTCCAGCATAGGTTTCCATATGGATTGACTTTGATCTTCCTCCATGCTATTTGACATTTATATTATGCTATCAAGTGGCATCATCTAGAATTGTGGAGTGTGCTGCTGGCAGTGTGTATGCTGATGATATGCAACCCTGTTACTCCTTTCCTTCCTCATCAGCTGAGGTTGTGGATGTGATTTGTTCCTCTGTGACAGTAGACTGGGATGAGGTCTGATAAACTGAAACTCAACCTAGACAAGTCCCAGATGCTGCTAGTGAGTGGTTTTCTGCCTGGATGAGGAGCATTCATTCACCTGGGGACTCTCCTGGAGCCTTCCTTTTCACTTAAAAGTCAGGTGACCTCTGTGGGACAGAGTGCCTTCTGCCTCTTGCTTGTGGCTCAGCTACAGCTCTATCTGAAAACGGTTAACATGGTATCAGTAATCTGTAGTCTGGTAACCTCCATATTAGAAACTGCAGTGCACTCTACTTTTGGAAGTCCTGGTAAATAATGTCTATTAGGTAGCCCTGTCCTAACTGCATAAAAGTTCTTCAGAGATTTATTTATTTAAAACATTTCTATGCCTCTCAATTGTTCCACAGTACCTCTGGGAGGCTTACAACCACAAGATAAAAACATAATAAAAACCATAACACATTGAAAACAATAAAATACAGCAAAAAACCAAAACAAAACCAAGATCTTACGGCTATTAGTTATTATTTAAAAAAAGAAAGAAAGGTCTTTGCCTGGTGCTGAAAAGAAAGTAAGGACAGCACCAGGTGAGTCTCCTTGGGGAGAGCATTCAGTAGCTTTTCATCTAGTGTGCAGCCTTAATTAGCAGTCGACTAAGAGAGCAGTCCTGTGGTCCTTGAAAAAAATACCGCAGGATTGATAGGGCTTTTTGGATTTCCCCTCCCAAAGCCTTAGACATTTCTACAACTTTGGGAGGGAGATCTCTGCCACTGTGGTATGCACCACGGTTCATGGGGGCTTAAATAAGCCGCTGAATCCTGCAGTGATTGTGTGAACCAGTCCAATACCTTCAAGGGATATATCTGCTGGATAAGTTTATATAATTATGTGCTGATATGTTTATCAATTTCAACTTGGCTTGCTTTTTCAGATCTAGTTAACCTGTCACCACCACTTGCCAGAGCAAATAAGAACCTTTCTTGGGAAAACCCCTGGTCTCATGAACGAATCAACAGATCTCGGGAATGCCAGCATTCTGGAGCCAGTTCTGCGGCTCAGGAAGGGACATGTGCCCAATCCTGCTGGGCAGGAAAACCACAATAGTGAACAATCCAGTAAGCAGGAGCACCTCTTAGAAGAGTCACCAACATCTTCTGAAAAGGAAAAGGTGAGTACTTGTTACCCGGAATATAGTCAGTAAATGACATAAAACCTGCTTGAATAATGAATTGCAATGAGTTAATTATGATAGTGATTTAAGAAGATGAAGAAGAAGATAGAAACCCAGATCAAGGCTTGAAAGTTAAAAACAGCATCTTATCCCAGAAACTAAATGGTAACCAGAGATGCTTATGCGGTACTGGTGTAATATGCTCATTGCCGGAGGACCCTGACAGTAGTTAGGCTGTTGCATTCTGGAGATGTGGAAATTCTCGAAATGTCTTCAAGGGTAATCCTCCATAAGCATGTTTACAGAAATCAGAATCATTTATCAAGGCATACAATAAATGATGGGTGTCTTTTAAAAGGGCATAGCTGGTGTAGCAGCCAAGGTAAATGTAAAGCCATTTGCCCCATGCTGCCATCTGGAAATCTAAGACTATATTTGGTTTTGTCTCCAGATACGTCCTGTAGGTACCATCTTCAGGCAAACAGTTGGCATATAGAGAGTGTTTGACAACTTCAGCAGGCAGTCTATAAATGGCCTTGCAATGTATCTGAGATGGGGTGCATCATATAATACAAATACTGTCTAATTCTAAAGTGCTAAAGGCAGCCCTATCCCTATTATTTAATATAGTTGCTTGTTAAGTGTTACCTTTCTAAAAGGCTTCCCGAGTCTGCCTATCCTACTGTATGAATTCACCATACATTTGTGCTGCCCCTAAATTTTCCAGGCATGTGCTGTGAAGTGCTTGCCTGTTCTGCTCACTTTCATCTCTTGCCCATGGCTTGGGAGGGCACCCTTGTTGAACACAGTGGTGAGAAAGCAGCTGAAGCAGTAGAATGCGGCTGCTAGGAGCAGCATGGCTGTCTGCTGGGGTGAAGGCAGTTGTGTGTGTATGTACATGAGCACATACTCTCTGTCTTTGAGCCTGCGTGCAGGCACCACTTCAAGAAAATGACTCTGCCTTCACACAATGTCCCTGTATAGCCTCTTCTCTGTCAGTTCACAGCTAACACAATGAGGTGCTTAGCCTGGTTACAAATACAGAAATACCAGCTCACATCAAGTGTGTCCAGCCTATTCTTTGCTCTGAGCTCAAGGAAGTAACTGTTGCATTCAGCAGCCCTTTCCTGCAGGATGACAAGAGAGAGACTTCTTAACTCCCTAGTGTGGAGCTCCTTCCTCTTTGGTGACTTTACACTTCCAGTGGGAGATTATATATCTTGTAACTGCATTTTAATATTGCAGGTTTGATACCACACAGTTGGGCAGGGGGAGAACACAGTATCTCTCAATGAACAACATCCAAGCAGGCTTGAGAGGGAGCATCCAGAGAATGTGTAACCTGCTTCATTTTGCTTCAGGAGAAAACTTAAAATACAAATGTTCCCTAGAGGAAAAGGCAGGATGAGGATGGAGAGAAGAAAAGGAAAGTAGAGCAGATAATGGAGATGAGACCAGATGCAGAGAAGTGCACTCTCTCTCACTTTGTCCTTGCTTCCTTCTCCATGTTCTAACCCCCGCTAACCCAATCTATACCTGAAGTGTGAAGTTTACTAGCATGGTGGCACTACTGAACTGCATCTTCCTTCTAGCTAGACAGAAGCAGAGCTAGGATCTTTCTGCAGTCAGCTTTTGGTTTGAAAACCTGGCAGAAATCAATCTTCCTCAGTGGCTCAATGTTACAGAAATAATAGTGATCCTCAAGATGCAACACAATTTAATTGCAAGCACCAGGGTGATAAAACACTGAATTGCTGATTATAAAATGGGATAAAGTAAGTGACCAAGTGGGGGCGTGGACATGATTGTATCCATGCTGTTTGCACAACCATCTTTCATGAGCGTTCCAGTCCTCAACTGTTTAGAAACCTCTGTTCCTTATATTCTCAAGATTTATGTTTCACTAGTCTGAGAGTAGGCTCCTCTGAAATGCAGGATTAGAACATACTAGCTATGAGAGCCAAGCAATGCTGCTGGGGTTTTTCATTCAGGCTAGAAGACTATGACATGGTTGCAAATGGAACATCAAAAGGGTTGAAGCACAGAATTCAGTTCCTGGGTGAAAGTTTTGCATTGCCAGTACTCATTAAGGAAAATTACAGGGGCAAATCATGCAGCCTGCATTAGCACAATGGGTTTCCATTCTTGGGATGGTGGGAATATGATAGATATGAGGTGGAACCTGTTGGGCACAGAGGCCTGTCTTGGTGGTGGCAGAGCATGTTTGAGTGGCACACTGGTAAATACTGACAGTAACTATAATAATTTTATAAAAGATGCCATGCATAGAGGACGGCTTATAAAAGTTTTAAATAAATAAATAAATAAATAAATAAATAAATAAATAAATAAATAAATAAAGTAATTAACTTCTTAACTAGTATAGGAAATCGCCCTTCTTCTACACCTGCTGTTGAAAGAAAAAATTAATGGTCACTAATCATTAAAAATTTAGATCAAATAACCTGGTCTTTTGTAGATCAATGCTCAGTCTTGAATATCAAATGCTAATGCTTTGCTTTAAGGTTTGTTAAAACTCTACTGGATAATTTCTGAGAAAATATATAGGGGTGCTGTCCTATATGGCTGCTCCTAACCTTCTGCACTCAGAAGGTTATGTGCATCCAATTTTGGGCATAACTCTGGCACCTGGAATGCCTCCCCAGTGTCTGTCAGAGTCAAGGCCAATGTGGAAAAAAAATCATACTACCGCAAAGCTGGAAATCCCTCTCCCCATTAACACAAAGTCCCCATTGCGGTAGGGTCACTGTCTTTTTCTTATGGCCAACCAGTCAGTGTCTTCCAACCATTTGCCAGAAAAATTATTTAGAGAACTATTTTAAAAGGCACAATCTCTTTGGATAGGTGTGGGAGGGTTCCCCTCTGGATGTTCAAACACAACTGCAGTGCAGACGGAGATTGCTTTGATCACCTAGAAACAAATCTGTTTGTTACGTATTTAGGCTGCCTAGAAACAAATCTGTTTGTTACGTATTTAGGCTGCCTGATTAAGTAGTGTAGTGCCACAAACAATCTACATGCACCCATTCTTACCAAAGGAACATGTTCCAGGCACATTTCTAATAGGAACAGGATGCCTTCAGGCCTCAGATACAATTTATAGAACTGCTTAACATAAAATGTTATGAATATTGGTACTTTTATGGCAGAACTTGTTTTCTGTTGAAGTGCTGCCTTTTAAACATAGTAATTAACATCTCTTCATTTACTTGGATAACAGACACTCTTTCCATTAATGTACAAGCACTTTGCAAAGTACTGTGAAAAAGGAAATGGCAGTTATCCACATTAGAGTCACAAAGTGTGGTGTTATTTGTATTTGACACAGTGTGCGTCCTCAGTTTCCTTTTTAATGAGAATTTATTTGGTAAAATAAAGGCTTAAGTCTGTAGTACTCCATATGCTTGCTTAAGCTCTGTTTTGAAAGCAGTAAGAAGGAAAAGGTAATCTATATTCAGGAAAAAGCACCCATATATTGTACAGAGGATGGCTGGATTCTTTCCTGCAAGGGATACTTAGAGGTACAGTGCATGTAAGAAGCATAGGAACTAGACATAGAATGCCAGGGAGTAAATTGGACTACTTTCTTCAGGAACAGCAATGGTAGCTAAATTATTCCTTGTGCAAATGTATATAAAATATATTTGTGTCCCCCAGTGATTATTCGTGCCTGTCTGGCCTCCTTCATGGCATTTATCTCCCTCTGCCCTTTGCTATTTGAATGGCTAGAGTGTCTTTGTTCCCCCTGCTGTTCTTCAGTCACTGATATCTCCTAAAGAAATGCCTCTTACTGTGACTTTGTCAAACTGACACAATCAAATGCATGTGACTTTTATCACCTGATGAATGGGCTTTTTATGTACAGCGCTGAAAACCTGCACTTGACTCTTACTCTTTTTTTTTAAAGTATAATCCTCCAGTGACAGAGAGGGAACAAAAGACTGTTTTCTTCACATTTTTTCCAGCTACTATAGCCCTCTGCTGTTGATTGATGGTGGGTTTTGTCTAAAGTTCCTGCATCTGTGGTGCTCTGTGCATTTGCAGTGTGTGGCCTAGAAGCGTGTCTGTGAAATTTTGGATCTGTTGCTCTGAAGCATTTGGAACTGTGCATAGAATAATGAAGCACAGCACTTGACTTTTCTTTATGGCAAAAGCCCAGCTGGAACATTTGTCAAGCAACCCAGTCCTCAGTGATTCCTGAATTCAGTTGTTTGACCTTTTGGCAAGAGTCTGTCAGTAAGCCTGCTTCAAAAGTGAAGAATTGTACTTGTGAATTAACTGCATAGTAAAAATAGGAGGGAAGAGCACAGAAACGAAAAATGAATACTGTCTTCTCACCTTGGTACCTTGCTAGTTTATTTCTATGAATGACATGCCTATATAGTTCTCTTCCTTCATTGCTTCTACCTCCATTCTCTTCACAGTAATGCCTGCTATTTTTTGGTTAGGAATAAGACAGGTTCTCCTTTTCTGAAGCCCCCTCTTGATTTTTAATTAAAATAATGAACAATTCTGGACAGGCAAACACTTAGAAATGTCAGAGTAACTTGGAAACTACCCCTAAATACAACAATAGCAAACTACAGGTATGCCTTTGGAATTTCTTTTCCATCTTTCTTTTCCATCTTTAGCCACCCAGGAAGGCCTTGGCAGTTAAAAATACATGTATGTATGTATGTATAAACACATGTATAAATCTTTCTCTTGCTTCTCGGTTTGATTTAACTCACAGATGAAAACTGACTATTGCCTCCATAGCCACAAATTGTCAAATTGTGTAAGCATCTTCCCTGAATATTAAGATGGTTTTAAAAGCCAGAACCTGAAAGCTTACAAAGTGCAGACAAGTTGCATGTTTCCACTAGTTGCTTGAAGAAAAGGCAGTTGACGTTGCCGGGTTGTGGGTAGGGTAGGTGGCGGCGGCCCACCAGTTCCTGGTTTGCAGATCCCATCATCCCTAAGCATGAGCTGTGCTG